GAATGGAACACAAATGCCATTATCTCTAAAATAATGGCATTGAGAAGCAGATGCATCCTTCATCTGTCTGGGGAGCAGGGTGGAGGGGAAGTTGCACAGCTGTATAGCTGGGACCAGCGTGCACCAGCATGCAGTGGTGGCAGAAGACAGAGCAGGAGCCCATTTCACTCACCTCCTTGATTCTTCTGCTTAAAGTCAGTGTACCCTTATTAACAAAGGGTGTGCTCACTTGCTACGAGCCGACACAATGCTGACTGTATTTCTGACCCAGCTGGAAATGATGTTTACACCTATCTGAGCAAATCAGAGTGCTGGAGCTGAATCATCCACTTTACTCAGGGTAGGAGTGTGCTCCTCATGGACTTACATCCTGTGCCAGCTCCACCACCTAGTCCCCAGCACCTCAGGGCAGTGCCACAGAGATCTTTCCCTCGGGGACAGATGCCATGGGGTCACCCTGTTTTGGAGACTGAGAGAATCATCCCTCCAGCTCATTTCACATCACAGTATTCCTGAGCATGTTTAATTTACTAGTGCAATTTTGGCCAAAGTCAGCTCTGAACCAGAACTTATATAGCTGTACTTAGGCAGTGCTTGAGCCCAAGCTAATAAAACCTGCTGAGGGGCAGGACGTATTAGCTTGGGTTCAGTGCTGTGCTAACATGGCTATATGGCTTCCAGATGGCTCAGAATTTAGGCAGAGCTATTGCCTGCCAAAGTCCATGCATATATCAATATAAATACATATATCCTAAGTAGCCCCACTATGAGGAGAGTAATGAAGGTGATTTTGCTCCTGACACTTTGCCTTGTAAATACCAGATCCGTCAAGAGATTTAAAGGTAACAACTCAGCATCATCTTCCAGAGTGCTTGATAGCTACAATGGTCATGTAAGTTAGGTGCCATGGTTGTCTAAGGTCAGCTGCATGATAAGACTGGAAACATTTAGTGTGGTAATGGTGAGACCAAGACCAATGTAAAATATGCAGCCAAGTACATGAAGAAGCCAGGGTGCTGCCACAGGTTTCTGTGCGTTGAAAGTAAACCAGCCATTCTATGCAACACTGAGAATATGGTCCTGTTGCCTTTCTGAAGGCTTAGTAGGAGAAAGGGACCTTGGAAGAACCAGGCTGAAAGGAAGAGAGGCTAAAAGAGAAGAGCATGTTTTTTAATTTCTTCCCCATCATCTCTGGAGAAGAACCTCACCAATCCTTCAAGCAGCATGTAGGGTTAGGATCCAAAACCTGTTCCAAGGGACACACATAAGAGTGTACCCAAATACATACTGGAGGAAGAAATGGCCTTCCCCAGGTTCCACTTGTATCAAGGAAGCTATTTCTTTCAAGTTTTTCTTTGCTCTGAGGAAAAAGAAATCCTACTACTTTCCCACCTGAGACAGCAGCAATGCCCAAAGAAACCTTCCATGGAACTATGTGGTTATAGAAATCACCTTAATCAGCTTTGGCTTTTCAGAATTGCCAACATTTTCTTCCCCACTGATATGCTGGCGGATGGAAAACAGAACTGAGAGTTACAGTAATTTAATAAAAGGCACAGAACTACATGAGTGTGGGACTACCCGTGATGATGTATGGAAAGTTCTGTATTTGGAACCTGTTTTATTCTGTGGGTCACCAACAGTCATTGTTACATGTTATCCCCCTCTCCCATTTTCTATAAACAATGCTAGGTTCTCTTCAGCAATGACATAAACAGAAAAAGGACTACTTTTCTAGTTGTTTATACTCCTTCAGCAAAAGTGATGTTCAGACCATTGCTAACTTCCAATTATAAAAAGGCTAAATATTAATAAAAAGGTGCTGATTCACTGGAACATGTTTTAAGTCTTAGGAGACATATATTATATATACAGGAAAAGTGTTGCATGGAGCTTTTTGAATTGTTTCTGCATCTGCACTGATTTTATGTTGCAATTCATCTGACACCTGTGTGTCCATCAGTGAAAAAGATCACCTATTGTTTTAAACACCGCAGAGAGTTTTGGTGTCAAGAGGAGGGAATCGGCCAAAAGGGGATGCTGCAGAATGTTGAGGAGACATTAAAAAACAGAATCAAAAAACCATGATCCTTAATTTACTGCAGCCCAAGGGAAACAGTGTTTGACAGCTTCCATATGTGTCATGCAAACCTTTACTCTTACTGTTCAAAATAAAACATCACATTAAGAGAAAAAGTGTACATTTCATGCTAAAAAGGGATGTATGATACCAAATACTGTCTTAAAGAAAAAAGAAAACATTCCAATGTCATGTGGCTTTTTGTACTTTTTCAGGATTTTCAAAGGGAGAAAAATATGAGTTACAACAACCAGACATTCTTCCAAAGCTGTTTTTTCACACTGTTATATTAAATAATTACAATTTCTTTTTATTCCTTATGTAGACATTATTACTACTTGCACACCATCTTCAGGGATCCAAAGAAATATATTTACAAAAGTAATTGCCTAAAAAGTCTCTGAAAGATAACTATAAAAAATTATTTTTAATGGTAGTGATAACAATATAGCAGCACCCTGGAGTCTCAGCAAATATTGACACCATATTTTAAAGTTGCTTTATGAATAAATCTAAAAATTAGTATGTATTTACAGGCTTGATTATCCAGGCCCCTAGTGGCACCTAAATACCTCAAACAGGGACCCTCTTACTTAGCAGAATCCCATTTAGTTTAATGGTCTGTTGCAATAGAAAGGTTAATGGATCAGGTCTTATAAATATCTCTCCAGTTATGGAGGCAGAACTCCTCTACCTCCTGTGAACTCAGCTGACAGCTGGAGGCATGAAGAAACATGCTTCAGACCTGCAGGGCCTGAAGTTCCTTGAGCCAAGGGAAGTTTTTTTGGTTGATTTGAACCAGTCTCTGAGCTTTCATAGAGAACTGGTTGGAGGGAAGGTGGGTGGGGTTTTCTGGGTTACAAACCAAGTCCACTACACACTGAGTCATATATAAAAATTCATGTTCCATCTGTACACAAACGTGTCATTCAACTGCTAGTGTTTCTAATAGCTTCCAGAAGTAACAGCAACCCAATAAAAATAATCAAAGCCTTAAGAGCAAAATTGTAAGACTATGAAAGGATGATTTTCCTTATGCTAAGCTGAAGTGGTGCAGCACAGGTCTTCCCTACAGTTTTGAAAAATTTAGTCCCTAGAAGGGCACTTTTCTTGTATGAATAAACTGAAAAGGGGACAGAAAGTGAGAGAAAAGAGGATTTCCCTCCTAAGTCAAGGAGCTGTGTTGAGAAAGTCAAATAAGTGAGGTGCAAAAAGTAAAGCTGCTTGTGGCTTTGGAATTTAAAATAGAAAATTATTTACCACCTTTCTGATCTTGGGAGTAGGTGGGGGGAAATATTCAAGTGAACTATTCTTTCACAATTTCTTTAGTGTATTAACCTAAAAGCTTCCTTTTACCCATACAAACTTTCCTGCTGTTTACTGAACAGATGTAATTTTGAGGCTAGAACCAACTGATTGGTGGTTCTACGGTTTCTTAATGAATGCCTTTCATGGATATTTAATTTTCAAAAATTTCTGTATTTGAATCTCCTGGAAATAAAAAAACTCAAGAGTTGAGTTTATTCTGGAGCAGAAAAGGTGGCCAGAGGGCAGTCCACCTAATTTGGATGCCTAATGGAAGTGTCATCTCCTCAGAATTTTAAAGGCTTTAAGATGGCCTCACAAATCTAGGCTGCCTAAGAGATCCACTCCCTATACAGCCCAAGCTCAGGTGTGGTGCCTACAAATGCTGATTGAAGGCATCAAAAACTTGGTCTACTTTGCATTGCTGCCTCCTTTTTCCACTTACTGTACTCCCACAGTATAGGTAACATTAGAAGAAATGGTCGTCTGCTCTGATGCAAGCCTGCCAACTCTACTTTTAAGCATTATGCCTAAAGGACAGTTTTTGCATAACTCTCCAGCAGCCAGGGCACTTGCTGAAAAAGTATGAGATGCTTTGTTCACAGCCCAGCTGAGCCCGAGGGAGAATTTAGATCAAAACCTATGAGAAAATGTAGACAGAACAAAGAAAGAAGAAAAAAAATACTAATCCTTACACCAGGGTTTCTTCTGCTACTCATTAACATTATGTCAGCTAAGGTTTAGATTAACTGGCATCATAGATTCTTTGACCTCTGACATAAAAAGCTTTTTGACAACAAAGAGCTAAATCTGAAAGTTTGCTTGTAAAGTAGTATGGATTAAGTGAACCATCACACTAAAAACAGTCTATAAGTCTCTTTTTATTAGTTTCTGAAGAAGTCTAAGTAAAGAACACTTCTTCTAAAAATATTATTTTGCATTGAGATGCATTTTTAATTTTAATGAAGAGCATAACTGTGAATAATACAGTAGCCCAGTAAATTTGTATTAAAAACCCCACAGCTCTGACTTCAGTTTTGATAGTGGTTTTTCTAATTTTCAGGTAATTAAAATTCTCAAGATTCCAAATTTTTAACCCATGTCAAGAAAAAAATAATTTTTTTTTTTCAAATTACAGGAAACTAATTCCCACATTACCCTATTGTTAACCTTTCTCCAATATCAGTATCAGCAGCTGTGAGGTACCTTCTGAACTGTCCTGAGATTATTTTGAAACTTTCTCCATTCTTCATCCCAGAAAGTTCTTTAAAAACTTTCTAAAACAAAAATTCTGCAAATTTGCCTGAGTTTCCTGAATGTAATCATCTGTGGAAGAACGTTAAAATGGAACTTTGTTTTATATGTAGGAGTTTTCATCTCAAACCTCATTTAATTTCGCTTGATTCAGTTAGCTTTGTAGTTGCCATATTCTCCAGGATTAAGAATAATAGGAAGTTTTCAGACAATAACTACAGCAGGATGAGACTTTTGTTCATTGCTTATAAGCTGTCAGTGAATTGTCACCCAGTCAAGTTAAAAAACCCATCCAGAAAAGATTCTTAGAAAGATACGACAAGGGCATATAGGGTGTTATGATCTGCAGTTTCAGTCTTACCATCCTCAGTTTCAGCGCAGAGTTGCAAACCCAGATTGTTCAGTGGATTAATCACCCAGTGATTGCTGGTCACAGTAATGTCAAAGACAAACCAGCCCACATCAGAAGCTTGAGCCTTTCTTGTGTCTAACAGGAACAGGTCTGCATCCCTAAGTTAAAGAAAATAGAGAGTTAAGGCATTCAAATATTATTATTTTTTGTCCTCAATTTTCTTGCTGACAGTAACTTCTTGGAGTCTAAATGAATAATCCTTTGACATATCCTCATCGTGACATAGTACAGCATGTGCTGTAGCTAATAAGTAATTGTTAAGTATAATAAAGATATTTTCCCTAAGAGGCCTTTCTGAAATGAGTCTCAGCATGTAAAAACTACAGTTACAGAAAACCTGAAAAATCCAGCTTCCTGATATAAGTACACAAAATATATAATTGAGGCTATGTAAAAAGATTTCATCTTTCATCATTAGAATGTTTCAGGAAGATTAACTTTTATAAACTTTCAGTGTAAAAGGCGAAATATGTCAAAACCTTGTTCCAATTTCAACTAAAATTCAAAGGCACAGCATTGCTAAAAAGATCTGTTGTTAATAACATATGACAGCAGCTGTATGCTATGACAAAACGTGAATAGACGACAGTTCAGACCATTTCCTATTAGTACTGATGTTTAGAAAATGTCTCTATATCAAAGCAGAGATTATGTATCTATTAATAAAGTAATTATTACATTTTAACCCTCAGTTCCCATGAAATCTCCCTATAATTCAGAAGGGCTGCTCAGAGAAGTTAGTATAATTGTGTTACTAAATTTTTAGCATGGATCGTTTATTTGTTTTATTTTCACATATCTCCTAACACAATTGGTTCCAGAACAACATCTGTATTACAAATAATTTGCTACAATGACCTCACTAAACCCAAGGTATTTAACTCTCATCAGTTTTCTTGTACATGCTTCTATGAAGCAGGAAGAATTATTAAAAACTGTTTTCACCATTTAATCTTTTAAACCTAAATCTATAGGTATAGAAACCTGTTTCTTTTCTTCCATAAATAGTAATCAAAACAATAAGATACGAAAACAAATGTTTTATTCTAAATTTTAACTGTACACGTCAACTAAAAACAGTCTTGGCTTACAAAGATCTGGGAATCGTATCGTTGTTTTACAGACAGAATGACTTAAATAGGAAAGAGAGACAGAATTAGTAAACTTTGTGTCTAAAAGTGGGTTTAAAATTCCTGTGGTCCTGTCACTGTATTTTTATGATGTTTAATAGCAATAGCAACTAAGAAAGTTACTGTCTTATCTAGATTAAACACCATAAATGCACCTAAGAGATCTGATACTGAAAAAAGCATCATTTGTATCTCTTGAAACTGTGGTTGTTTAACACTGAGGAAAGTAAAGCCAAATGAGCTATGACAAGCATTTGTTACTTATGTGTATATGTAAGATATATCTGCAGAATCAGGTTAAAGAGCTCAAAAATTATAAAGAATGATTGTCTTTGAAAAAGGAATTGAAGGGGCTTTCTTTCAAGTCACCTTTTTTTTTTTTCCTTCTGTTAAAGGATAATCTTTTGCTGGGCTTTTATCACTTCCATTCTAGAACTGTGCTAATGACCACATAAGGAGAAAACAATTACATTCCCCCTCTGGAGCTAGCATGAAGAAAATATTGCAATTCCAAAGAACCTGATCTGCTATGCAAGCACTGAACAAATTAACAACGTACTACAAGCTCATAAATAGTACTCTCTGGAGTCTTAAATGCCAACTTTTTTCTCTAATAAGCAGTTTATCAGAATTTTAAAGTGTAAAAGTTTAATTCTGACTGTAAGAGTCTTTGAGATGTTTATAAAAATTTTTGTATCACTCAGTAGATTTAATAGAAAACTATAAAATTGCTTGGAAAATATTAAAATATCACAATCATATAATTTCACACTTCTCTCCTCCTAGAATACATAATTGTTTTCTCATACAAATTCTTTCCATTCCAAGTTTTGCTGGGACTGATGCGAAATGTTCTCAAAAGCCACGATATATAATGTATCACATGCCAAATCAGAATAAGGCACTACTACCACCAGAGTCCAGAAATTCTGCTGAAGGACAAATTTCCCGTGTGGATCTCTCCTCAGTGTGATTCAAAAGAGGCAGAATGCTTTTACCCATTAACTCTTCAAATGAAACAAAAATGAGTTGTGGATACCTAGAGAAAACCAGAACTGATCCTTGAAAACACATAGCAGAATAGAGAAAATGTCTCTGTGCCAGTGCTAATGATTTAGCCTACATAACAGCAATTTACTGTAGAAATCCAAAGTATTTGTCAGGGAAAAAAATAACTTCCTTTACAGTTGATACAAACATAGGGTGAAAATCTATGATCCCTGAGAAGGCAGTGACAGCTCTGAGATCAGGATTCTCCCATTAGGTCATGTCATTTATTCTAACTTCTCATCCCATTTTGTGATATTTTTAATTTTAAAATTCTCCCTTATTCTGTGAAAAGAAAAAACCTGTCACACTTAAAATGAAAGAAAGCTGCAAATTTTGCCTCTAATTTAAAAAAAAAATAAATTTAAAAATAGCCCACAACACATAATAAAAAAGTGATGCATTATGTCATAAATAGCCTTAAATGCAACATTCAGGTAGAGTACAGCTTATTGGCTTTACCTTTATGGAAGCTGTTTAAGTTTAGTGTCTGGTCCCAAATTACCAGTCGTTTACAGAAGAAATGCTACCACGGTCAAGAATTTCAGCAAAGAGGTTGCAGGTAGAGTGTCTGAGAAGCTCCACATGTCCTGGGTCACTCAAGGAAGTAAAGGTGGAATAAACCATCTATATGTTCCTTAAGACCCAGAACAGCTTTTGGTCAGATCAAGTCATGATTACTATGTAATAGGCCATCCTGATGATGCTGTTTCACCTCTCACCTCATTCCAGAAATCTGCTTTTCTATCTTAACGCCACTTGAAGTTTCCCTAATGTGGAAAGAACCTCTGGGTTTACTTACATTAGTGGCTAGCTGCCATCAAATTGCAAGCGAAGATTTGGTCTGTTGGATTATATTTACTTTCAGCATGAGAAAAGGTCCGGGTAGGAATACGTTGGCAGGGCTGCATAGGAAAGTTATCCTACCGTGGGCTGTCCTGTACATGCTTCCTTAGGAAAAATAGCAAACTTCACTCCCAAAGACTGGAATTTCAGCAAACTCCAAGGGAATTAAACACAGACACACATTTCAATAGCCATGATGCCACAGAGGCAGGAAAATGCCCAAGACTACAGCACAATCCTTAGTTTGTAACTTGGAAACCCTGAACTCTGGCCAGTCCTTGCCTAAAAGCACAGCAGTACTGTGTTAGGGACTGAAGAGCCATGTCAGACACCATGTTTCCTGTTCAAAGCAAAGAACCCTCACCCACTCTCTCTGCATGGGCAGATTATTTGGTGAGCTTGGACATAAACCTGGAATAAATTACATTTAATATAATTTTAATTCTTTTTCAGTGTTGTTGTTGTCTAGGAATCAATACTGCACAAGCGATGGTGATAGCAATGGTGATAGCACACACCAGGTGTGTGCTCATGATCAGTTATTGTCTCCCTATTTAAGAAACACGAGGTGGTATTCCATATCTTATGCATTCATGGCAAGCAGATACCTGTTTGGATACTCCTTGATGATCTGGTATATGCTGATCTGAATGGTTTCGTTCTCAAAGCGGCTGTTGCTTCGATCTTTGTATATTCGGAACTCGGCTGCTGTCACTGCCTCTCCATGCGGGATCTGAGTAAGGTCAAAGCGAAACTCTTTGTAGTGCCTTCGCTGGTGGGAGAAGTCCTTGTCCCTTTCAACTGTGAGAAAAAGAGTTGAGTGTAAATTAAAGATGTGAAACAAATGCCCATTTCTCATGATTAATGGAGCGTTCCTTCTACTTGGGAGTAAACAAACACGACAATATAAAACTGTGCAAATAATAAAACCACAAGCCCAGACATACTTCCAGTTAAAGGAAATTCCTCCAGCCCAGTGTCTTCAGATCAAAAGACAAAAAACCTTGGTGGCTTTTATATAAATTCCAGAAGCTGGAGTGGAAAAAATATATTAAAAAAAAAAAAAGCTGAAAGTGGACATGTTGTAAAGTAACTAGAAATATGGACAAGCTAAAAGCTGTGAAAGGATTTAGGACTTCAGTGTAGTCATAAGCACAGCGGTAGCAATGTCAGAGCTATAGATGACTTCAGAAAACACTAATTGCCACTAATAACCAGGCAGATGAGAGGAATGCTGTTCATTTCCGTTTAACATAATAAATTTTAAAGTGGTACTAAAGTGCACTGCAACAACTATATATTTAAGAAGCAGTTAAGTCATATAAATTAACACAAGTTGTACTCTAATGGCATACATGTCATCTTGCCAGTGTCAGAAGAAAGAGCCATGAGCCAGGACTGAGTGGTTCTGGCATCTCAGCAGCATAGGAAGCACAGTCCTGGCTCGAGGAGTCCCCTCAAACCTGGGTGGGCAGATGCAGGCTTTCACTGCTTCTGACACTGCCACAATTTAAAGTTAAAAAGTAACCCTCATTATTGCCTAATTCAGAATTCTGCAGAATTCAAGAGAGAGTAAATAAAAGATTTTAATTTATTTAAGTTCATAACTGGTTTGGGTCTAATTCCACTGTTTGCTGCCATTCTGACTGAGTTAGGAGTAACTTTTGCAATGGAATATATGTTTTGATGTGGCAACGGAAACTACAGGCCACAGTGTTGGCTGATGAACACCTTATGGGATTAATACTTCAGATTTTAAGGATGTGGAATGGAGAGTGACCCATGGTTTCCACTGCCACACTATACAACATATCATTGACCTTTGGAGAAGTTGTGCTCTGTCAGAAGACAGAATTTCTCTCTTCTGGAAAAGTTCTATCTGCCTCCTGAAATAGGTGTTTCATTTTACTGATGGACAAAGCCTAAAACTCAGAGCTGGGATTTGGTTTAGATAACCAGCTAAATATTTATGGCACCCCTAAATTCTCCCTCCTGTAACCCCTTCTCTTTTATTTCGTTTTAGTCCTCAGATATGAGGGAGGAACAATGTCACTTCTGAAAAAGCTTGCATTTGGACTACTAATTGCTACGTGTATAAATAATGTGTAAACTATTACAATATTTATGTATATTTATATGTTCATATATATGTGCCTCCCAAGCAGTTTTGTCTACATATGCAATGTGCATGTGTTTGCATGTATATACATATAATTATATAATTTATATATAAAGCTGCATATCTGTATTATTATAATGTATAAGTTGTCTTACAAAATACAAATGCACTAAAAGAAAAAGAAAATATCATTTTGTGCTTGCCATATAAGAGTACAGTTGTGGACATAGTAAAGTGAGAGCTATAGAAGGAAAAGTATTTAACATTATTTTCAGAGCAGTAGTTACTAGTTAAGTCACCTGTGGCCGTGTAGTAGTCCTTTACAGTGTATTTCCCTTTCATCCTTTCAAAAACGTAAACTCTCTTTGTTTTTATTAGCTTTTCTTTTTCTTAATGTACAAATCTGTGTTGCCTTAAAACCCACCAAAAATAAAATATATAGGGTATAAGAACACTTTATCTTCAGTGAAAATTAACTTTCTCCTGGCTGACAAAAGGAAAGTTGCCTGTTAACTGTGAGGTTTACTTGGCTCAAGTGCATATTTAGTTTACTTGGGTTTGCCATGGAACACTATGTCGCAAAAGTAAAGCAGAAAAGAGGCAGAAGCATGTAAACTGGCTGCTCTGTACCTGAAGATGAATGGGCTGCTGCTGAAGAGAAACAGGATACAGTCTATTTAGCAGCTCCAGTGACCGGTTCTAAACTGTGAGATATATACAGAGATCTGACTTGAGGTTTGGGAGTTGTTTGCTTTTTTTTTTAAATGTCCATGTAAAGCCTTTCATTTCAGAGAGAACTTGGCAGAGATTAGCATATGCAAAAGCACTGAGCCGAGAGGCTTTTCTCTAGTGCAAAGAGTCTGCTACAGTTTTCTAAGGTTATAACTGAGCATTTCAAATTTGACATGGAACAAATATGTCAATAATCTTCAAATGAGACTATATTAAACACAGACTTAGTGTAGCAACCCCACATGCATGTGCGACTAAGCACTACACACTAAGAGTAAACACTGAAGAATTAGACACTGAATAAAAGTGCCTAACGCCACTACATAAATAGTGCCACAATAAAAGTTTAAATGCCACTAATCCTGGTCTGATTAATTGGTATTTGGATTTGAGGTTTCCTTTAGTCTAGTTTCTACTAAGTACTTTCTAATTAGTAACAGTAGTTTAGAAACAGTAGTTGTCTCCCTCTATGTTATAGTTTGGACACAAACCTCTAAAATACCCTTCAATTGCATCGGTGGGGTTGTCTCAGTACCACTCACGACTGCCGAAAGAAAATTGATAGCCACTTCCTCATGGGCCTGAAATTAATTATTACAACTCACACAGATAATATTATCTGTGTTTCCCTGTATACCCAAGGAAGACACAGCACTGTCATCTGAAAGGGACATAAGTTCAAAATTTCCTTGGGTCAAGACACCCTTTACAGGAAGGCCAGGACTTTGCCTGCAGAAATGAAGGGTTGTAGGAAATAGGCACTGAACACCAAGAAAAACCCTGAGTCCAAGGAGATCCCACTCTCTGCAATAAAGCCAGAAACTCTAACTGCAAGTTTCTGTTAGCCAATGTACAAAGCAAAAAAAATTTTTTACAAATGTAGACAAATTAAAATCTTCCATTATATAGTAAGCTGTAAAATAGAAGTGATGGTGGTGGTGATTTTGCAATAATAACTAGTGGCTAGAATGATATCCAAGTTAAAAAAGAAAAATGCTATTTAATGATATTGAGTATTTTAATACTGAAAATAATATAAAAATCTTGACCCCGTCTGCATCTAATAAATGCTTTGTCAGGGAAGACTGTGAATGCTCAGTAGGGAACCCTAAGATCCTTCGTCCTGCTGAAATGGCACGAAGGGCAGGGAGGCGTAATGTCTCAAATATTTTAATTCACAGGCGAGAGCTTTTCAACCCTGGCAGCCCAAAAAATACAGGTTAAGATTTTTAAGTATTCAGTACTTCCAGAACGTTTTCATGTCATTCCAGCCCTGCTCAGTTCATCAGCCAAAATGCACCTCTGTGGGACCGATTACAGCATCTAAAAACTGGTTGACCAGAAAATCAGTCAGTATTTTTTAGTCATTGGAGGAATACAATTTTTCTAAGTAAAAATAACTGGAATATTAGGGTTAATGCTGATTACAACAAAATTCTTTATTTGCTCTCATTGCTCAGGTTTCTTAGTACTGACTTTTAAAAATGGTATTTTTATATGACCTGAAACTAATATATGCAGCACTATGGTTACATCAGACAAATCATGGCTCAGGGGAATATCACAAACACCTGTGTGTAAAATGGGAAAGAATGATATTTTCCACCCACGTGGCAAACTGATGAAATGTTCACACTGTATTAACACTAAGTCCAACTCTAAAAAGAAAGAAGTCAAATTTATACAAAAAAGGTATTTTGGAAAAGGGTCTTCTTTTACACCAAGACAGAAATATCATGCATTGATTATTTTCATTTAAAAAGTATGTATTTTAAGAAAAAAAAAAAAGAACTACTAAAAAACATCCAAAGCATATATATGGATGGACAGTATAACAAGTAATCAGTATTTTACCAATTAAACTATAAATGTCTGATTATGTTGACTGCGCTTAAGAAGTGTAAAAAGTGCTATCAATGAGTTTAGGTCATAGTGCATGAGGGACAATTAGACATTTTCTTTCATTAGTGATTAGCTCCCCATTGATATGTGCTTGTCTTTTCCTGAAGATGTTGGTATGTGGCTGTGACACACAGGGAAAGTGAAAGCTGCTTTGGCAAACTGGTAACAAAACAACAATATGCTGTAATAAGCTGATTTTACAATATAAGATCCCAGGATCCCAACTGGATTCACAAATAATGAAGCCTCACTAATCAATTGTCACTGTTTAACTACTAACTATACATGCCAGGGCAAAATGGAGGGTCTTACAGACCTGTGTAACTATAAAGGGTCATTTACACTAATCTCACTGAATTTCACTGTTTGACTCGAAATTCTTTGTATAAGTACTAAGTAAACCAGTCAGTTTTAATCACTTCAAGGTGATAAAGGTTACAGTAAGCTGATACACTACAAACGACACTCATTTACATCTTGAATACAATTAAACGATAGTTTATCTACAGTGAGCACTTGTGGTTATCTGACCAAAACGGGTCAAAGGTTCCAGGCGTTTTCTCCTGAAATTACTCAGTGCTGCCTCTAATGACTGATAATTGAAAGCAGAGACTGGAAATATCAAATGTGGTAGGTGACAGATAAGCAACAGATTAATGCAAGTACTCTGTTACAGGACACTAAAAGGTCAGAGGCCCAAGGAATTAGCTATTGTGCTACTGTGAAAAAACAGACATCAAATAGCTGTTTACCTCATTCTTGCTCTTCTCTCCAACATTCAAATTCTAGTAGTATAAATTAGACTGTTTAAAGTTACTCACTTTTTACAAAACGAGGCAGCAAATATTTTGTATGGTATGTGGGTAGGAGAAAAGTGATTCTAGAGAAGCATACAGTGGTAAAAACCCCACCAAAATAAAACACCTATACTAGGTGTAAATATTTAATGAAGTGCATCTGAAAGAACTTAAGAATTATATTAATCAGAATGTAATTCTCAGTTGAACAGATCAAATAACAGACTCTAAAATATACATTTTAAAGTTTT